CTCAGCGGATTTGGCTGTACTCAGCAAGCGTTGTACAGCCCCCAACTCAGAATTGAAAAAAAATCAGTGGATGTTTTTTTTTTTCTTTTCCTGACTGGTCGGCAGACCGCGGACCGGTCGGCCCTACTGGCCTCGGCTGCAATACGGTCGGCGGTCGGCAGGGATGGAACCCTGCTGCAAAGCCGAAGTCCTAAATGCCTGCAAAGCTAGGTGGGGGTCTTCTCATCTATTGGGTGCTCAGGTATATGATCCATTGCATGTGATTGTGGTCACCATTCAGATACCAGGCGGAGCTGGAGGACTACTTTGACCGTGCGTACAGAGAATACATGGAGACAATGGGTAAAAGTGCAAAGAGGAAGCGAAGGGCACGGTTGCAAGATGAAGATGCAGAACTGCCTGAGGTCAGAACTGCTATTCCTGATTGTCATTTCTCGTTCCGCTCTCCTGTGGTGACATGATCGTGGTCTTGTTTTTCTTTTTCTTTTTTTGACATGACAGATGGTCCTGGTACGAAGCTTCACCTCCCTTTCAATTCACCCACCTTTCTTTCTTTAGGTCCTTCTCTGTCTCTGCCTCTCTCCCTTTCTCTCTCTCTCCCTCCCTCTCTCTCTCTCTCTAACATTTATGAGAAACACCCAGGGCAAGTAGTGGCAGGTATTCCTTCTTCGGATGCATGCATCCGGGGCAAGCAGTGGCAGACATTCTTACTTCGGATGTGTCCCTATCATCATCACCTGTCCACAGACAGGTTGTTTCGTATCGCAAATATGAGCTGAAGAAACTGTGTCTACTACCACTCTGCGATGGCATTGGGATGTTCGGTTAGGATGTGACCAGCTTTCCGTGTGCCATGAGCATTATGAGAGCATTAGGATGTGACCATGCAAGTCTTAGTCTCCTGACGTTTTAGCGACAGTCTCTTCTGTACTCATCCTCACTTCGCTGTTGCGGCATGTCCTCTCTGTACACCTGGGCTGGACTGCGATCGTCATGCCTGTGTGTTCCTAGCTTGTGGAAGCCATGTTGCCTGTGATATTTTTCTGCATTATGCCATCCGAAACAGTGACTGTGACTGTGAGGATTGGATGCGGTGCTTCCGCATGCCATACTCGAAACGATCGATTGGCAGCAGATGGGGATGTAGAAACTTCAACGCTGATCAAAGCTGAAATGCTGTTTCTCTTCTGCATGATAATTTTTTGGGTTGGAACTTGGAATTGGAAATCTGCCAAATTGCTTGACCGACATGGAGCTGTTATGCAATCAGACCACTGCTGCAACCAAATCAAGGCTAGCTGGCCTTGCAGAGGACTCATAGGTGCACACCAGTTGGCACATGCAGGTTCTCCTGTTTGTGAGTGGGTGCCTACTGCTCGACAGGCCGGTGCCATGCCGATTCCAAGACCTTTTTCCTCTAAATCGTGCTTCACCACAAAATTCATGCCTGAGGAAGTTACTTTATTTTTGCTGTTTGTGTTTATTCTTTCTGCGTTTGTCGTTACCATCCGTTTCTGCTCCCTTTAATGATACAAAGGATCTTCTTCTGCTTACAGGGAAATGACGAGGAGGACCAGGATGGCGGTGTGAATGTGAAGACCCCTGAAGAAAGGCGAAAATTGGAGGATCTGCTGCGTGATGGCGAAGATGATGAAAGGGACGCAAACCCTCTCTTGGTTCCACTAGTTGAGAAAGAGAAGAAAACTAAGCTTGAGGTAACCAAGACTTGGTTTGAACAGGATGTCTTCGAAGGATTTGAGAAAATAGGTGACGACGAGGACGACAATGGCGACAGAGGCACTGGCAACCAGCTGGCGGCAAGACCGAAAAGCATGCCGAAGCTTAGCAACACTCCTGCAGCATACAGTGCCAAGCCAAATGCGAAGGAGGAGGCGGGTGGACGGCAGAAACCTGAACCGGAAGGAGGTAGAACAGTTCTAGTTGCCAAGAAATCCAGTGCTGAGGCAAATGGTCACTCTTTAACGAGCTCCGTCAAACCGGCCGAAGAAGAAGGGTTTGAAGTTGTTCCAATGGAGCAAGATGACAGTGACAGTGATAGCACTGACTCATCTGATGATGAGATGGATTACGACAGTGATGAAAAGGCAGAGATACTTGCCTATGCGAAGAAAATGCTCAGGTAGCCCCAGTGAAGCCCTTTAACCTCACATGCATTCCAAATCCGTTACGGTCTATGAAGGAAACAGTTTTAACCTCCTCTGGAGGGGACATACTAACTGGGCAATTTGTTGTGTGCAATTGCTTTGTTTTTGGCTTTTATTCTTCCCCAGCCTCCCCCCACCCCATAAAGGGAGCTTTGATGTATTCAACAGATTTGCAGTGCACAGTTTGATGGTTAGCGTTACATTTTTTGATATAACATCAGCATTCTTCTAGAAACAATTTGCAATTGCTTTGGTATTTGTCAAAGTTTCAATTCCCACCGCTGTGGATTTGCTATCTTGTATGTGATCCATCAGATAGCTGTGATAGCAGTTGGTTGCCTCTGGCTAGCTCATCTGAATTTCAGAAGTGCAATCACAAAGTGTGTTCTTTCTCTCTCTCATGCGTCCATGCAAGACATCACTAAAAAGAGAGGGGGGTTGAGGCTGGAAGGGGGCCGTGACGCTGTTGATGTTGCACAGCCGGGCGTTGCATTCAAATCGGCACCGTGGAAATGAAGCAAATATAGGACATTGGTGTACCCACACCCACGAGAGAGAGAGAGAGAGAGAGAGAGAGAGAGAGAGAGAGAGAGAGAGAGAG